ATTAAAGAAAAACAATTAAGAGTAACTCATAGCAAATTACGAGCTATACTTTAATGAAACAGTCCTTTTTGTGTCAACAGTAATTTGTCTGCTTCCCTACTTGAATTTTCATTTGACGTCTTTGTGAAACAGAACTTGTGCCACTTGAATTAATAAAGGAGGTCAAAGCGGTGCCAGAACCACAGATCTGTGATCGTTGCAATGTGTATATACAGCTAAGGTTATTAACTCAGAATACATTTTTCTCCTAAAAGGAATGCTCATATTTTATATTCAGAATCTTTGTGAGAGATTGGTGTTTATTTTTACAATTACAATGGAGATCAAGTATTTCAACGTTACTCATAATTTTCTAGCATTCGCTTAACAACCATTTATTGTTTTGTGAGAAACTAGAGTACATTTCTGAAGTACAAATATAAATAGATCTAGTCACACCATACTAAAGGTGACCTCTAATTCTAATTAATAAGTGTAGCATTGTGATGTGTGAACATGAGTTAGCTTTTTGGTTTGGTATAGTAGATTGAGAAAGAGGAAGTAAGACTTTCAAGGTGACAGGTTATTTTACTTTACCTGCCTTTTGGGTAAGAGCAGGAATGTGTATGCTGAGGAATTTGGATGCTGCAGTAAAAATGTGTTCGTTCCATAATAGATGTTAGCAAGAGAAAACCATGGCCACTCTGCTTCCTGCACAAAGAATATAAGGTGTATAGAAAGCTTAGAGGGAGAAACTTCAATTAGGCAATGACAGTAATGTAGGTAAGAATTGATACTGATTTGAATGAGTAGTAGAAGGAGTAGGAAAAAAAAGTAATCTAATGCTAATAAACCATAAAAGTTAGTTCTTTTTACGTCTGTTGTGTGGCATTTTATGTCCTGTGTGTGTTAATCCATTTAATCATCACAAATACTGTGACATTGATGCTTTTATACCTTACCTGGATAGATGAAGACACTGCACTTTAAAAAGGTTAAGTAATGTTTCTGAGGTCAGATAGATAACACATGAGAGAGATGACAGTTAAATCTAGATAGATGAGATAAAATCTGGAACAATTAGAATAGAGGGTTAATAAGGTCAGGAAGCTTAACTGTTTTAAATTCCCATCCATTCTGAGCAAGAAGAGAGGAGACACACTTTTAAGCCCTGAATTCAAGTTTAGATATTGGAGAGGTCTCTGGTGTGGGGGCCATCCATCTTTACCTTGCTCCAACTGTAGGTTTAGACCTCACTCCTGTATCCTCTTTCCAAATAGTCCAAATAGTGGTAGAAGGTGTTTTCCATCCACTGGCTGTTACCAAATTCACAGGCTTGTTACCCAAGTCCTCATTTTGTTAGGCCTTTTTTTCTGAATGAAAGGTAAGGTAGGGGAAAGAGTCACACAGGGTTCCTCCAGTAACTGCTGCTGCTATTTGGGGCTTAACCTTTCAAGTCTGTGAAGAAGTGCTTGTAAATGACCAAATCCCCTTGGTTAGCAGGGGCTGGGTGCATTGTACAGTTGTAAAGCCCATTCCTGGCCTTAACTGTCCAGTAAAAATGAATGATAAATTTCCTCACGGCTGTTAGATGGTATCTGACTTTTGTTTTGGGTAAGCAGGTCATGAAGAATCTCTTTCCTGAGTTCTCTGTTAGTTTGTTGCCGTATACCTCCTCTAATGGGTGAAAGAAATGCTTGAAATGTGCAGGTTGTCCAGTTATTCTTTCTAACACTTTACCTGTGAGTCAATCTTAAGATCTTTGTTTCTGAATCATTATGCATTATTTTTACCCTTAGTTTCTGCCTTTGGTTTGCAATGAATTTTATGAATAAATCTGGTATGATTTCTGTCTGGCCAGTAAAGTTGGAGCTTTGCTAGTTATGTGTAAGTCTGAAATATTAATTTGAGAAGTAGGTATTTTAGGATCTACTTTTAAACATTTTTCAGTAAATAGATATCCATGTGGATATTTACAAAGAGTCTATGACTATATATCATTAAAGATAAGAAACAAAGAAAATTTGAAAGCTGTGGTCATAAAACACTTTGATTTTTTGAGTAAATAACTTTTTTTAAAGTTGACAGAATGGTTAGTTATTGAACTGGAACAATATTACACTTGTGTCCTAGCATATTGATTTGGCCTGACTATCCTAGTTTATGAATTTATCATTTCATATTTGGAAATTTTTCTTTATTAAATTGTCATTGCTTTCTAAAACCAAGCTTTATTTTTTGTTACTAAGAGATAGTATTAGAGGATAAAACAAAGCTTGGAAAAGTCGATTTACTTCATTGTTCTTTGTATCTAAACTAAAAGGATTGTTTAACAAATTGAATTATGGATATTTATTTTAGGTCTTCTGATTTTTCTCTGGTAAATTATAATATTCACTTGGCCACAATATATTGACTTTCTGAAAGAATGCTCTAAATGAGTATGAGAGAAAGATTCCCTGAGAGTGAGTCAGATTATTTAGGAAAGGAATAGCATTACAAACTGGAAAGCATTCCATAGTGAACTGAGTATATAGTGAGGACTGGGCCAGTGCAAGCTTTTAAAGGCAAATGAATGTGCTCGCTGCAGATTATCTTAAGCCATATCCTTGGCTGTAGACATTAGTAGCAAAGGCTACATCAGTCTAGAGTTGCACAGATAGGTAGGTGTGTGTGTGTGTGTGTGTGTGTGTGTGTGTGTGTGTGTGTGTGTGTACATGGTAGCCAAGACTTATGACAATAACTCTCAGCTACTCCTATAAGGGAACCTTCTTCAGAATCTGCAGGTGTTTATGTGTTTTGCTAGTGTTACAGCTCCATACATTCTAACTTTTGCTTACACATTGTTAAAAACTCTTCTTTGCTAACTGCTTTTCTTTCCCTTTCAAGGAAAACTCAGTTGGTTTTTGTTGATGTTGTTGTTCTTGTTTCTTAATGTTTTGAGGAAGTGAAGCAGTTTTAGTTGTGTTGAAGATTAGACTTTAAGGTAGCGTAAGCATTGTAAGCATGCTTCATTTCTCCTTACCATTTACTTGTACTCTAGGAATAAGTAACTTTTATATATTTACATTTCACATGGACACACACATACACACACACGAGTGAGTTTTAATTGGTAATTCATTTGCAGTTGCTATGGGTATTAGCTTCTACATTACCAAGGCTTTTGGTGCGAAGATTTGTTATGACGGCACTCTTGTATAAGATGCAGTTCTCATGAAAAAGGTTGCCAGTGGCCCCTCCTCCTCATTGTGTAAATAGCTTGGAGAATGCTTATGGCTGCCCTAAATGCTTGTGAACATTTGAAGTAAGCCACAGTAAAGCCAGTTGTACTCAGCAACATTTTTATGCGAGCAATATTGACAATAAATGTTGTCACCTTCAACATGAGGGGACCTTGAGCAGTATTTGTTTCTAAAGGAAATTGTTCTTCTCATGTAAGTTAACCAGTATACTGGTGTAAACTTGTTCTTTCATGCATTTTAATGTTGATAAGATTAGTAGTGATAGCTCATTTCTAGTTCTTGTCATAATTTGTTTATTTTTGGTCATTTCTGTCTAGAGGTCTGTTTGATATATTGCAAGTGTCAGCTTTTTATGTCATCCACTTTCTGTATTTTTCATTTCCTTATAGGACTTTCTTCTGTGCTAATATCTTTACTCTGCTCTAATATAATTTTCAACACAAAGTTTCCAACGTGTCTTTTTTTCATACCTCTTTTTTGTGTTTGTATTTTCCTCTACTTAGATAATTTTTAATTGATATTAAATCCTTTGTGCTAGTTTTCTTGTCTGTCAGTTCTGGCATTTCTGACCTATCTGTTTTAAATGGTTTTTTTTTTTTTTTTTTTACATGTATGAATGCTTTGCCTCCGTGTGTGTCTGTGTACCACATGTGTGTCTGGTACTCTCAGAGACTAGAAGAGGGTATCAGATTTCCTGCACCTGGGAGTTGCAGGTAGTTGTGAGCCACCATGTGAGTGCTAGGGATAGAGCAACCAATGACTTAACCTTTTAATGGCTGAGCCATATTTTCTGCCCACTTTTCTGTTTTTAGTTCAAACTTGGGGCTTTATTCAGGTCATGCACAAGCTTTTCTACTGAACTGCAACTCAGGCCTTACCCACCTCTGCTAGGATTTCACTGGACAATATAGACTGGCTGTGGACTTATGATTGTCCTTGCTTCAATATCTCAGGTGCTAGAATTATAGACATAACATCATGCCTGGTTTTGGTTGATTTTGTTAAACCCATTGTATGTCCTTAGTCTTTTACTTATTTTTATTTTTTGTTTGCATTCCTGAATTACACATATTTAAATTATTTTTTCACAATTATATTTCAAAGTAACTATGCTTGTGAATATACACTTACCAGTTTTATTATTTGGGTAAAACTGCGTAGTGTGTATTATTTTGAGGCAAATTTATGAACTATGTAATTTAAGTCATATTTCAGGATGCAGAATAGTCTTCAAAAATTATACATGTATATGTATATATACATATATATATGTACATATATATATGTTTATGCCACAAGACCATTAGACCCTCTAAATATTCACCCATTCACCTCTTTTTTTTTTTTTTTTTTTAAAGATTTACTTAATTATATCTGTGGCTGTGTTAGCCCCACTTGCCTAATGGTACCAGAAGGTGAAGAGGCCAGTAGAGGACATTGGCTCCCTGAGAACTGGAATTTTAGGTGGTTGTAAGTTCTCTGATGTGGGTTCTGGGGACAGAAGTGGGGTCCTCTGTAAGAGCAGGAAGCTCATTCGTCTCTCTCCAGCTCTTTCTCGTCTGTATTTTAACAATAATATCAAAACTAAGGTCTGCATTAGTATATGGCTTTCCTAATCTTTTGAACATATACACAGATGTAATATAAATAATTTGACCATAGTTCCTACGTATGGTCACATTTCAAGTGAGACCGTTCCTGTGGTTGTTTAATAAATTCTACTTCAATTTGTTTTCTCCTACCAGAGTGGCATCTCCAGTAGGAAACTCAGTGTGGAGGTCTGTAGCGATTGAAGGACTATCCTACATGACAGAAACCAAAGCTAGCATCGGTGGCCCTGACAGAGCCTGAGAAGACATCCTGCTGCTTGTGTATGGTGGCCAGTGAAGAACGTGCTTTTCCATTTTTTGAGTCAACTAAAAGGCCCATAACAACATCTCGTTCTTGTTCTGAATTTTCTAAAATGCTGAATATCAACTTTCCCTGCCCTTCTCAAGGTTAGGTAAATATGTGGGTCAAAATCAGATGTACCCTATGAATTTTGGTTGTTTTTTTTTTTTTTTTTTTTTTTTTGTATTTCTCTGTATATAATATTTTGTTTGAAGTTGTAAACGTGAATTACTGGGGATTTTATGTATATGTGTGAAAACGGGAACGGGGTGTGTGTGTGTGTGTGTTTGTGTGTGCATGTGTATCTGTGTGTTTACATTAGAATTTAGAACTGACACATCTGTTAGATCAGACAATTGCCTAAAAATCTTACTTTCATTTAAATTAGTCTGAAGTCCTATTTTCATTTAAATTGTCATTTACTGCTCTGAGGTCAGTTGAAAGGAAAGTATTTTTTCTTTTCTGTGAAAATTACTTGTTCAAGAGTGTTTATTTTGTTCCGCCAAGTATATCCTGGGGAGAAATTAAAAAAAAAAAAAAAAAAAAAAAATAGAATCTCCAGTGAGAAGGAAACTTTCCATGGACTGAACTGTAAAGAACTATGGTTGCTTTGCATTGTCTAGTCATGTTGTAGTTTTATTGGCACAAAGTAATTGAATAGAATAATATTTCTGTAAGTCTGGGAGTGAAATGCCTAGTCTGGATTGGTTCAATCCGTTACTCTGGAGGCTGAAACATTGTTACTGAATTGAATTTGCGAAAGCAAAATGACAATAGATGGATTCTGAGGAAATAAAAATGATAACAGTGCTCAAGATCCATAAAAGTGCCACACCCCTTCAAAATCACTTGTAACCCCACTAAAATTGCCCATAGCCTAATGCTATCTATTCTGGCAAATTGATAATGTAATGTTGCCCTGCACTAATCTCTTCCTCTGTGATGAGTGTAATATTGGCCAATGAAGTTGCTCTCAGGAGATTGAGAGAGTTGATTCCCTTTTTTTTGTACACTTTCATTTGATCTTACATTTTTAATATATTTTTAAAAAGAATTTTAATTATGGCAATTTATGTCTGAGTAGGGATTTGTGCAGCAGAATGCTGGTGCCTCTAGAGATCAGAGCAGTGTGGTGGGTCCCTTAGGGCTGCAGGTACAGGTGACTGTGAGTGCCTGACATGGGTCATGGGAACCAAACTTCATACCACTATAGAGAATCGGAGTATTGTTAAATATATATTTACTGTATTCAAAAACCTGTGGTCACAACAGAAGTAACATACATCCAAACCAGTTTCTGTTTCGTTTTCAGGTTTTTGGTAAATGTCTAAGAGGATTTTCCACAGAAGCAATGTCTTTGGTAAGGTGATATTTAATATACAGTGACACACACATATTATGCATCCACTTCACATTTTGATACACTTTGTAATTTGGTTTTAAATTAGTCTACTTTATAGTCAGATTTTACATGAGTGCCAATCCAGTGGAAAACCAGTATTTCCACTTTTTTATATGATGATGTTACATTATAGTTTTGTATTTATCTAACAATATTAGATTATTTTTGCTATATTATCTACTAATATCTCAGTACAATTTGTGCACAAGTAAGAAAATTGGTAGGAAGCCAGCTCTTTCTTTATGAAGACATGTAATTTTTGTTAGTTTAAACCACAGGCATATTTATTTCTTTTGTTCTTTTGTCAGCTTGTATTAAAGCAGATTCTTGTGTGTGTGCTGAATTGTGATTTCACAAATTTTGTAAATACAGAAGATTTTTATATTTACACATTTTTAACCTGTTTTGGTTTATAAAATTTTGGTTATCTAAAGGAAGGTTCCTTTTTGTAGGTTAGATCCTTACAGCTGAATGAAACTGGAAAGAAGGCAATACATTGATAAGTCTAATATAATGTGTATATTCTGTCTATTCTTGCTTACTACTTATTTCTGTGTCTGTATATGGAGTCTATGTACAACACTTGCATGCGGGTGCCCACAGATGCCAGAAGGTATTGGGTCTCCTGGAAGTACAGTTACAGATGTTTGTGAGCCACTCAAAATGGATGCTAAAAACTAAACCTCAATCCTCTGCAAGAGGAGTAAGCCATCTTTAACCACCGTGTGTGTACTGGGGAAGTACATATGCATATGCCAGCGGTTAGTGGTCAGATGTCTTCTTCTATCACTGTTTACCATAAATTCTGAAGCAGGATATTCCACTGAGGCCCAGAGTTTGCAACTCTAGTCTAGCTAACCAACTTGCTCCTGGATCCTCTGTCTCTGACACTAGAGTGTTGTGACTGCCAAACCCACCCAGTGTTTACCTGGGTGTTCCCATCCTCACATATGTATAGCCAGTGCTTCCCCTACTGAACCATCTCCCCAGCCCTCTAGACACATTTTCATTCCTTCAAGCACAGTTTGTCTTGAATTTTATCCACTGCTGTAAATTAGATTTCATTTACCGCTTGTTTTAGGGGTGGTTCTTTTTTCTTTTTGTTTGATGAGAAGTGTTGCTTTTGTTTCATTGGAGGTTTGGTTGGTTCTAATGATTAAACCCGAACTTTTCTAAGTGACAGTCCACATTGTCTCAAAGGTAGGTACATCCTCAGTCCCTAGTACTCACATTCTCTTGCTCGATTGTGTGATAAGCTTTGTCTGAAGCTATCAAAACATAATGGAGGCCTTTTACATCTGTGAAACATAGCTAGGTGACCTGTACATTGAAACAGTTTTGAAGATGTCATCAAATTATCTTTAGTGTATTATATCCTGTAGTTTTTTAAAATTTTTATTTTATATTTTTTCTTATTTTACATATTGATCCCAGTTTCCTCTCCCTCACATCCTTCCATGCCCCCCCCCCACACCCAGCCCCTGTCCACTCCAGGGAAGGTGAGTCCTTCCAGGAGAGATCATCAAAATCTGTCAAGTCATTTGGGGTAGGGCCTAGGCCCTCCCTCGTGTCTCTAGACTAAGGGAGTATCCCTCCATGGGGAATGTGCTCCCAAAGTCCTCTCATGCATCAGGGATACATCCTGGTTCCACTGTCAGAGGTCTCTTAGACTGCCCAGGCCTCCTAACTGAGATCCACATTCAGGGGGTCTGGTTTGGTCCTATGCTGGTTTTCCAGCTATCAGTCTGGGGTCCATGAGCTCCCCCTTGTTCAGGTCAGCTGTCTGTGTAGGTTTCTGCAGCCTGATCTTGACCCCTTTGCTCATCATTTCTCCCTTCCTGCAACTGGGTTCCAGTAGTTCGGCTTAGTGTTTAGCTTTAGGTGTCTGCTTCTGTTTCCATAAGCTACTGGATGAAGGCTTTAGGATGGCATATAAGGTAGTCATCAATCTCATTATCGTGGAAGGGCATTTAAGGTAGCCTCTCCACTATTGCTTAGATTGTTAGTTGGAGTCATCCTTGTAGGTCTCTGGACATTTCCCTAGTGCCCGATTTCTACTCAAATCTGAATGGCTCCCTCTATTATGGTATCTCTTTTCTTGCTCTCTTATATTCCTCCCTGGACTCAATCTTCCTGTTCCCTCATGTTCTCCTCTCCCCTCCTCTTCTCCCCTTCTCTTTTTCCTAACTTTCTCTCCACTCACTGACCCCCCTAATATGCTCAGGAGATCTTGTCCCTTTCCCCTTCTGTGAGGGACCTTGTATCAATCTCTTAGGTTCCTCCTTGTATCCTAGTATTGTAGTTTCTCTGGCAGTGTGAATTATAGGCTGGTGATCCTTTGCTTTATGTCTGAAATCCATATATGAGCGAGTACATACCATGTTCATCTTTATTTGACTGGGTTACCTCACTCAGGATGGATTCTATTACTAAAACTCAAATCTTACATAAAACCTCACACACTTACAGTAGGAGACTTCAACATCCCACTCTCACCTCTTTACAGGACCATCAGACAGAAACTTAACAAAGAAACAAAAGAACTAACAGGAGTTATGATCCAATTGGTTTTAACAGACATCTATAGAACATTCCATCCAAATACAAAAGAATATACCTTCTTCTCAGCTCCACATGGAACTGTCTCTAAGATCAACCACATACTCAGCAACATAGCAAACCTCAACAGATACTAAAAAATTGGAATAACCCCCTGCATTTTATCAGGCCACCATGCTTTAAAGTTAGAATTCAACAACAGCACAAATTGCAGAAACCCTACAACCTCATGGAAACTGAACAATGCACAAATGCACCATTCCTGATTCAAGGAAGAAATAAAGAAAGAAATTAAAGACTTCCTAGAATTCAATGAGAAGGAAGACACAACATATCCAAACTTATAGGACACTTTGAAAGCAGTATTAAGATGAAAGTTCACAGCAGAAGTGCCCACATGAAGAAACTGGAGAGCCACAGTAGAGAATTAACAGCATAGCTGAAAGCTGTAGAACAAAAAGAAACATACCCTGGAGGAGTAGAAGCCAGGAAATAGTCAAATTGAGGACAGAAATCAATAAAATAGAAACAAAGAAAACAATACAAAGGATCAACGTTAAGAATTGGTTCTTGGAGAAAACCAACAAGATAGACAAACCTTTATCCAAACTTACCAAAAAAGCAGAGAGAGAACATACAAATTAACAAAATCAGAAATGAAAAGGGGGGCATACCAATGGACACAGAGGAAATCCAGAGAATCTTCAGGTCATACTTTGAAAACCTGTACACCACAAAATATCCTGTAGCGTTTTAGTGAATATGTTCTAGTATCTTAGGGTAAGTGTCTTTCTAGATCTGTGTTGTCTAGTGCTGCAGCAGCTGGACATGAGAGGCCACCAAATAAACAATAAAACATGTATAGCTAACTGTTGGCACTTGCTATAGTCCCAGCGTGGCAGAACTCAATGAAGCAGGAGGGTTACACCCTGGATTTCACAAGGGAACTCTGTCTCAGGTCAAAAAAGGAAAAGTCATTTCAGCCTCACTGGTTATATTTAAATCTTCTGTTTGCTGGTGTGTTGGCTACAGCAGTCCCCTCATCACACAAGGTCCTATTGCACAGGAATATTGTAGTACCTTTAGGAATGTTCATGAAGCAATAAAGTGCCACAGGTGCCACTGTCATAAAGAGAAATATGAGATCATGTGAGTAGCTTAGGGCACAGTAGGATGCTTTACATACTGTCTTCCTATTGGCATAGATATTAGACACCTTTGCATAAGCTTGTCAGACTACTTTTGGATCCCTGATATAATGTTATATCCAAGTGCTTATAAATGCTGTTGACTTTGGATTTTGTTCATGTTACCACTTATCAGTGATACACATTTATTTATCACTCTGCTTACTTAACCCTATTAACTCTCCCCTAACAACATTTGTCTAAAGTTCAAAGTGATTTGGATACCTCCTGGCTCCTGTAGTGTCATTTTAGGACATCATCCTTTACTGTCAGCAAGGGAAACAAATTGCTACTCATGTTGGGTTTATTTGAAAGTATTATGTAAATTTATTTATGATGTTCACAGATAATTGCCATTCAAGGTTACATTAACCTGACTTATAAGAGAATGGATATGAAGAAAAATCAGTTAATTTATTTATGTTCGAAAGAATAATAACTATATAAATTTATAGTAACTAATTTTCATGGAAAGGCAAATTAATAATTAAAAAGTTTCTTTTCTTTCTCGCTTTCTGTTTTGAATCAGAAGGCAGGTATGCAGATACTGTTTAGTCTCCCTAAGCTGTACTGGCTTTCCCATTTTCTCAGTACCAGGGGCATACTTCTTAAGGCATGATAACTGGGTACAGTTATCTTGATGCCTTGATTTGACAGTGCAAATTTTCTTTTTTTATATTCCTGTCACTAAGCATTATTCTATCATAATTAATGAGCTGCACACTTCTTGTATATTAAAGACTGATTAAATTTCAAGGTCCTTCTTTGTCTGTGCCAAAGAATCAGCTTTCTAAAAAGAAAAAGGAATTCATCTCTGTTTGAAATTCTAAATAGTCATTTTCAGAGTGTCATGTTAATTTATTTCTCAATGGGCAGGAGTAAATGGACTGCTGAAATTTTACATGTTAATTTAGTGATGCTGATAGCATGAGATATAGCCTTACAAGATACTTTCTTTTCCCTTGTTATTGTTGTGATTACCTTATTCAACTGATTTCTGAATCAACCCTTAGAGCTAAATGCACTTGGGAACATTCAAGACAGAGCATTGCTCTGACCTCATAAGCTTCAGAATCCTTTATTGACAGCACAGCACTCTAGTGGGCAGGTGCCTCTTACTTAGTCATCTTCCTCAGTAAAATTTCTCTTAGAGCTTTAACACTGATGGTGCACATATTTAAAATTATTTTCTATATTGCTTCACTTTATATACCAACTTTTGATGTTTGAATGGATTTTTTATACTTTAATTGTTGAAGAAGTATAATTAAAATTTAAGCTGATTATACTTTTCTAGGTTGATGTGTTAATTTCTCTACTAATGAACAAAATTATTTCAAGAAAACTAGTTGGTTTCTATAGTAACCTTTGGAGGTAGTCCTTTTCTTTTTTTTTTTTTTTTTAACTTTCCCCTTGGCATTTTGAAGTTCTCCTCTTTAGGATAAATCTTTTAAAATTAAAATAAAATTATATATACTTGGTAATTTACATATATCACTATAATATTTTAAAAATATAGATTCTTAGTGATATAATTACTGTCTTTTTTGTCTTTAGATTCCAATAACTCCCTATACATACACGCCCCTGAATCTACTTAAAGAAGGTACAATTGTCAATGTCTATGGTGTCGTGAAATTCTTTAAGCCTCCATACCTCAGCAAAGGAACTGGTAGGTATCAATGTATGTGGTGTTTTATGACCAAGAACTGTATTATTGATCTCAGGGACACAACTTAGAACAATTGCAATCCTGATTTTTAATTGTTAAACAATACTGATGAGTGATACTCTTTGGCTATTTAATTTGTGAACTGAATGTGATCTTTAGGTTCCAGAGGGTCTTATTTACACATTTAGATTCCAGCATATTTACAACATAAATACAGTTTTAAGGAATGCTAAATGATATGAAAGTATAGAATTTGTTGGTGAAGGTGAACATGTTAGCAGATACTGAATATTGTAGTAATATAACAGCACATCAGTCACCCTCAAGTCTAAAATGAAATGAAAGGCAAACAGAAGAAAGATACTAGCCACAACATATGTTAATGGATATACAGAATATGCCATGTATGATCTGATAAAAGTGTGCTGGGAAGAGAAGTGAAAGTAGAGAATTTTTAAATAATTCAAGTTATATACTTGTAAGCCTAGAATAGATTGCTGTATTTTACCTGAGCCCCATGTTAATATAAAGAAAATACCTGTGAGAAATATATCCATGATATAAAAGAAGAAATTATCACAACTTTATATATGTGGCTCTCACAGCTAATGTAATACCAGTCGGTAAAAAGGACAAAGCTTGCCCTCAGAAATTAGAATGTTGTAAGTGTGACCTACTTTTTCTACTGAGTTCAACATAGTATTGGATGTCATAGCCAAAGCAGTTCAGAAAGGAAGTAAAATAAATGGCCAATTGGGAAAGAAGAAATTATGTTTGTAAAGAACATTATCTTTTAAGTAGTAAACTAAATACTACTACACAAAACAATTTTTTTGAGAAATGATAAATGAGTTTGGCAAAGCTACAAGATCAAACTTAACATATAAGCATACCAGTGATGAGCAATTTCAAGGGCAACAAAAAGAATTGATGTAGAATAGCATTGGTGGGTGGTGTAAAGTGATTGGGAGTAAACTTAAGGAAGGAAATTACAGCCTGTACAGAATATTTCTGGAATCAGAGATGACACACATAGACGCAGTGATGTCCTGTGTCCATAGGTAGCAGGGCTTAATAGTAAGTCTTCAGAAGTTTGCAATGTGAAAAACTATTGCATTTAAAAAAAAAAGTCTCAGTTTTTTTTTTTTTAATAAGAAATACCAATGTTAAAATATGTAGAGGGCCCTTGATGATGAGAAACCCCCATCAGGAAGTTTATGATTTTGTGATGCTCTTATTTTCTAAGCTTTTTACAAATCCACAGTCATTAAAACAGTATAGTCCTAGCAGGAAGACATCTGTATTTCAGTGGGGTAAAACTGAAATAAAAATTCATGTGTGTGTTCAACTAATCATTGGCAGATGTGCCAAGACTTCACAGTGCTCAAAGGATGGTCTCTTCGGCCAGTAGTTCTGGGAAAACTGGATGTCCGCATTCAAAAGTAAAAAAAAAAAAAAACAAAGCCAAGTATTTAAGGACATGACATGATGACAGGGAATTGAAGCTCTCAGAATAAATTCATTGAAAAGAGTCACATGGCAAAACACCGAGCTGTAGGCTTCCACTTAGCCAAAGAGCTGGCCGGTACAATGAAAGACAACCTATAGAATGGGGGAGACTGCTTATTTAACTCTTAAGGGATTCGTCTCAGATATTTAGGGACGTTTTATATCTCAACAAGAAGAAACAAAATAAATCAAGCTTACTTAAGTCAAGGACTTGGATAGACTGTTCTTCAAAGAGTAGAGAGAATAGTTGGAACATGAGAAAACATGGTGGCAGGCATTAGGGAAACAAAGTAACCATCCACAGCTGCCACATTCCACCTGTTAAGGGGACCATTATTACAAAAGCCAAAACAATGTTGATGTGGCTGTGAAGAAAGTGGACTGTTATACTCTGTTGTGCTCTCTTGAAGTCCTCATGAAAGTGAATTTTCTCAAAAGTGAAATTGCATTATGATCCAGCAATCACTTTTAGATATTTATCTAAATAAATTGAAATCAGGATCACAAAGAAATACTTGTATTTTCCCTGTTTGCTGCAGTGTTACTCACAATAGACAAATTATAGAATTAGCCAAAATGCCCATCATGGGATGAGTAGATGAAGAAAACCTATCACCTTGCAGTAGAGTATTGTTGGGTTTCACAATAGACAAATTATAGAATTAGCCAAAATGCCCATCATGGGATGAGTAGATGAAGAAAACCTATCACCTTGCAGTAGAGTATTGTTGGGTTTATGAAGAAGGAAATCATTTTATCCCCAGCAATGTGAAAAAACCTTAAGCCATATCTATCTATCTATCTATCTATCTATCTATCTATCTATCTATCTATAATATATATATATATATATCAACTGTGTCAGTAATAGGTCAGATGCCTTGTACCACTTCCTGTAGCTGTATATAAATAGTCACACATAGGAGTGGAGAGCAAGGTGGCTGTTGCTAGCTGGGGGTAAAGTAAATAGGAAACAAATATTTTCTGTTCAGTGACTATAAATTTTCAATCATGGAAGGTTAAAAAAAATGTTGTAGGGATATATTGTGCTGTTTTGGGCTTGTATAAATCATTGGGCAGTACACTAAAATTTTAATAGGTGGAACTTGTGTTATATCCTTTTATACTCATCACCCAAAAAATAATATTTGATGAAATTAAAAGATTGGAATTAAAAACTATATTAATTTTTATCTGCACTTTTGTAGTTTTCAAAGGAAATTAAAAAAGTATGATCCATAAATTGTATGATAATGTAACTCTTTAAACAAATTGTGAAAAGGTATATCAGAAACCATTAGTTTTTTTACAATACAACAAAAAACAGAGCACACTTTACCTCTAGTTTAATGTACTTAAGTATATTGAAAAGTTATTTATTTCACTTATTCTAAAACACTGATTTATTAAGGTCACTAATAAGTATTATTAAGTACAAAGAGTACTACAAAAGTATATTTTTTTTTTTATTTTTAATGGGGACCCATACTTTAGACATGTTAAAAACATGAAACAATGTGTATTATTGATAAAATAAAGAATATTATTTACATACTGCATCCTAGAAACTGGTCATGTTGGGGATACAGAGATGTCCTCATTGACTTGATGCAAACATGTTATCAAAAACACTAATATTTCCATTTTTTATGAGTTTTATATTTTTTTACAATTACAAAAGTTGTATTACAGAACAGTTAGCTGAGAGTAAGCTCATGAGCGGGCTGAATGTGAGAAAATTTTCATATTTTACTAATGTACAGTGCGATAGCTTACTCTGTAAGCCGCAATGAATACTGCTAGTCTGGAGATAATTATAAATTTGACCAAGCTAAAAGTGTAACCTAAAGGACTGATTTGTGAAAAGTAGCATTGTTTGTTTCAAAGGAAAACAAAGCATTAAGCTGAAACAGATAAAGTTTTATCTACATGTGAATTTCCTAAGCATGTTCGTTTTAACTGGACCTTCCCTGAGCCCCTGTCCATCCTCCACCATGCCCTTAGGTTCCTTCACATTGGTGGTAATGGCCTCTCTCCATCCTTGCCTGAATATCATGTCATAATGAGCACTGTGACCCTCTTGCTTACTGTCACTTCTTTGTGGCTGACACTGGTCTGCCAAGCTTATCTCTTCTACTTGGTAGAAGATAAAATTTTAAAACTTTACATTTGACACGTTAATTTTTGTCACGGGATGTTTTTAAATAAAGTGATCAGAAAATTATAGTTTTCAGAAGCAATTAAAAATGGCAATGTAAAATTAAAATGTCATTTTAAAACACTAATGACAGTATATACTTAGTTACTAGATAGTATAATCATGCTTTCTTCTGATCATATATTTAAATCATGAATAAAAAGGAATGCCATTGGGAAATACAATTATTTAGTATGTATGCTTGTGCCTCATATTTCTAGCAGAATTGTGTAGTTGATTCCAGCACCTTAGTAAAAAATTCATGGCTAGTAATGAACCATCTGTTATTATGGGGATAATATGTTTCTGTGTTTCTTCTGAGATAACAAATTAAAATGAATGCCATCAATTTATCTCCAGTCATTGAAACTGTAAAATCCATCTTTTAGACGTAGCATGATGTCTTCAGCAAGATGACAGTGAAGTTTTAAAACTGTGCATCTTGTAGTTTTAGTTACAGTTTACAAAACTTATCCTTCAACAAAATTAAGCACAGCAATGAAAATCAGGCAAATCACACCGATATTTATGTCCAGCAAAGGGTCAACTTAGTGACTTACACTGAAAAGTGCTACAATAAGTGTATATGTTCAGTCCATAGCTGTGTGTTTTACATAAGTAGTGTGATGGCACAGTGCAGATCTATAATATCAGTAACAGTAATGCTGCAACCCATACAGTTCCTCATGTGTTGAAGCCCAATCATAAAATTATTTCCTTCCCACTTCATAACTAATTTGGATACTGTTGTAAATCATAATTTAAGTATCTGATATGCAGATATCTTGGTTTCTTGTTTTTTCAAGACAGGGTTTCTCTGTGACTTTGTCCTGGAACTAGCTCTTGTAGCCCAGGCTGGTCTCGAACTCACAGAGATCCACCTGCCTCTGCCTTCCAAATGCTGAGAGTAAAGGTGTGTGCCACCACTGCCTGGTCTGATATGCAGATATCTTGTATTCAACCCCTGGTTTTCTGACTCCTAAGGCATGGTGACCCATGGGAACCTCTGATCTAGATGCATATATAACTAGATAGGTAGGGGAATTACCTTTAAGTAGAGCAGATTTTGAAATTATATAGTGTTATATATGACTACCTAAAACTTTGTTAAATTTATTTTTAAAATGTTAAATTTTTTATAGAGGTGGCAGGTGTGATTTGGCTTCTTTACTACTTAATTAAAAAAATAATACTTTTCCTTGTACCCTGAATATTGAAGATTATATATGACTTATAGTGTACTATCATTTTTGATCACAGAATCGATCAACCTCTGAAGGAATAAAAACTGTTA